GTATGTCAGTATGTATGCATGTATGTATGTATGTATGTATGTATGTATGTATATATGTATGTGTGAATGTACGCATATACGTACACTGACATACATGTTTGCCGACACATACATACGTACATACGTGCGTACATACGTGCGTACACACACGAGCACATACATGCACAGATACACACCATGCCATATTCACGTGTGGGCCTCGCTCCCTCTTTGATCTATCTTTCTCTCTCCTGCTTCCAAAGAACCACAAATCCAGAAATTGAAACTCGCGTGGTTGTGCCCAGGAGGATGTGCACGGCTTCGGATGCAGCGAGATGCAGCTCTGCAACAAAGGGAAGCAACCAAAGTTTGTAATACAAACAGTGTGAATAATTACCGTTATTACCATTGCTATGATACTAAGAATAAAATAACAACAATAACAATAGCAAGAACAATAACAAAAATAATAACTAATAGTAATAACAATAGTAGTAGTACTAGTACAGAGAGAACAGCGATAATCTTAATAACCAAAAAACATCACACGACAACAACAACAAACAACGACACAGAACAACACGGAACAACAAACAGACAAACAAACGAACGAACAAACAAACAAACAATCAAAAAAATAACAAACAAACAAACAAACAACAAACACCAACAAAAAACAACCAGCAACTAACAACCAGCAACCAACCGACCAACGACCAACAACCAACGAACAACAACCAACAAACAACAAACAACAAGCAACAACTAACAACCAAAAAATAAAACTAGAAACAACCAATAACCACGACAACAACATCATCAACAACAACAGCAGCAGCAACAGCAGCAGCAACAACAGCAGTAACAACAACAGCAGCAACAACAGTAGTTCATAATGACTATAAGAAGAAAAAGAGTACCAATAGCAATAACGCAAATCATACTCAGAATAATCATAGGAAGAAGCAGACTAGCAATAAGAACAACACTAGCAGCTAGCAACAATATCAATGTAATAATGATAACGATAAGGAAGGCTAAGCACTGATCATGATAGTGAAGAAGAAGCGGAAGAACCATAGTGAGAAGAAGCAGACGAGCAAGACTGAGAGACTAAGACTAGTACTACTAGCCGTTGCAGCTCCTGCTTTCTTCGCCGCTCTGGATGCACAGGCTTGCTTTCGACATATCCGAACCCTGTTGGTAGACTGCTGAATCATCCTGCACCCCGCGCCCGAAAAGCAGAACAAATCTACAAAGAGGCCATGCCTAGCAAGGGCATGTTGAACTTCTGAACCCAAAGTGCGAGGACAGGGTCCCAGCATGAGCTGCTATTACAGAAGGCTTCATGGTGCAACATGAGCTCTGAAAAGTTACTTGGGTGTCTGCAGAACTTGATCCCGGAATTTCCCAGACCCTGCTACCAGTAACAGTAACACAAACTTCGCCATTCAAGCCCGTGACGTCAAACAGTTGAAACGCAGTGCGGGCCGAGACAACTCTAGGCCTCTGACCAGACACATGATGGTACGAGCGGCATGGTCCACTGCGTATCGTCACTTGCCCCAGCTTGACTGAATCCCCCTGCTCCCAACAATCTTAATCTTAGGTCGAATTTCATTGAACCCCGCAGCAACGTCAACCGTCTCACTGCAAAGGGTGGCTAGGATCGCCAAAGAGGCTAGGCGAAACTGTGTTACTCTTGCCGTGCCCTTAGACCTGAGCAGTTGAACATGACTGGACTTTCGTCATCCCTTCGGATATCCCAGGGCTTTATGCGGAGCAGCTGGCCGGGTGGTTTTGCGGGCGGGCGCGCTTGTCTGTATTTCGGCTACGGACTACTGGATTTCCACTTCAACTGCATTTGTCTAGACGGTGCCCTGAGCCCCACGTCCCTGTCCCTGAACACTGTAGTAAATCTGGGGTGTAGGTGGGTCCTGGGTCCTTCGATCTCCACACCCGGAACCCCGCTGGGCTGCCGAGACGCACACAACAGAACGGACCTCGCCTTGACTGTGCGCATGATTGTTTCGGAGCGAAACTTTGTACAGCCCACGCCGCACTGTAGCTCGCAGGTTGAAAATGGGCTGCGAAACAAGGCAAACGCAAAGTGCGTCTCGGGAGGACTCTGCAACTCAAGTGCGAATGGGAATTGAAACCTTGCCCTTCACACCACACTTATCTGGCATAAACAAGCAAACACCATGCTTGACCAAGGCTTGCAAGTGCCAAACCTGCCAGCCCAAGGACACGACACCTATGTCCAACGCTCTCTTGGTAACCTGAAACGAGCGCAGTGCGGCCAACGGCATAAAGCGGGACCTTTGCCCAGGAACGTTGCCCGAAACCTCAGAAGTTCAGTCTTGGAAGGTCTTTTGAGCCGAGGCTTCGAAGGAGTCAAGTCCGAGATTTGGGGAGTCACATTTGGCTTTTGATGAGTGGCGGTGTCGGTTGGTGGTTCTCGCTCTTGAATCATTGCTCGTGACTTTGCCACAGCTTTCTGAGGCGCTCTGCCTGGCCTGCATCACGGGATGCGTCCGCACCAGCGTCGAATTGACGAAGTCTCACTTCTGAAGCCGAAGCCCGCCCGCCCCCCCCCCCTACATCCCCACTTCTTCAGACGAGGGCCAGACATGGAAAACGCATGCAGCGCGGCCGCCCTGGCAGAACTGGCTCCACACGAAAGCACTCAGGCTGTGAGCTCCCGTGTGGCTTATCGGCCTCAGCACTCATACATGTCCGCGTGCATGCCTGCCACCCTTCAAAAGCTTGAGATCTGCAACCCAAAGGCCTCTATCTTGAGATGCCACTGGAGCTAATGCTTCGATTCCCTCGCCTAGTTGCTCTGACTTCGTGCTTGTCGCCATGGCTGCCCCAAACAGTGTGACATTTACACACTCTGGCGTGGGGTGGAACAGAGCTCCTTGCTCAACCGAGATTCCCTTCTAAAGTCTGCGGGGGACAAGGGGGGTGGCGGGTCTTGGGAAGTGCTTCCGGCTCTTGGCCTCGGGTAAGGCTTGGCTCACATGGGCGCTCATTGTTTGGGGTCTGCATCCGAAGGACCTTCCACATCCTCAGTGACCTCTCCTTTTCTGAGGCCTCCTTGCAAACCCTGGCAGGCGCCTGTGCGTTTAAGACACAAGGTAGGTCCGATCTCCGTCCTGCGATTGCGGGCTTGCGGTTCAAGGTGTAGCTGCTTCGGACCCAAGGCCCAAACGAATTCTTGGACTCTGTCCAGGGTGTCTGGCTCCAGTGGTGACAAACCAAACCCGAAATCCGTGAACCCCAACCTCCGCTGGGCAACATCCCACTGCCATCACTTCATGATCCGACAGCTCTAGAATGAGGAGCCAAGCCGAGCCGAGGCCTTCGTGCTTTCAGAAAGTTCTCAGAAGGCGATCTTCGAAGATCTTCTCTTTTCATTAAGGTGTGAGAAGGAAAGACACCGTTTTGTGGCTCTGTGCCGCCCGGCCTTTGGAGCCACGGCAGCCCTCTTCGAACCGCCGCTCTCCTCGCTGAGGCTCCGCATGCTCTGCGCTAGGCCCCGCCGCGGGGCTTCCCAAGCTCCGCTTCAAGCTCCGCTCACGTCACCCGCAAAGCCCCTGTCCTGGAATGAGCACTGGCCGCTTCACCGACCCAAATCTGCACCTTCAAGGCTGCATGGCTTTCCGACACTTTGCAACTGGGCCCATGAGACATCCAGAGGTGCCTGAGCCCTGAACACAATACATTCCCTTGCAGGCTCGCTAGGCAGGGGACCCGAGAACGAGAAGCCAAGGCTTTGTGCAGGAAGTGTAGATCAGCACAAGAAGAGCCCGTCTCCCATGCTCTCACGAACCTGCCGAGCCATTGCAATCGCCTTGCCTGCCAGCAAGAATAGTCTGGCCGAGCTTTCGCGGTTAAGGCTGCTTGTTGGGCGACTGGGAGATTGCTTGGGCAAAGGTTGAGGCAAGCCCGTTCAGGCTGGCTAGCGACAAGCCCCCTGTGCATATCCCGGATGAGTTTATGACAGTATCCACGATTCCAATCGACCGCTTTCGTCCTAGCTTGTGGTCGGCCGGCTCGGACTTGCTACTGTGGTGCATCTTGGGGAGAGATGCTTCTCGGAGAGCGGGGAAACGGGTAATTCACGGATATAAGTCCGGAGGTTCGTTCCGGGCTCAGGCCCAAGTGCACGGAGCACAACATTGCCGCTATGCAACTTTCGTTTTGGCTATAGACCATGCTTCGTGCTTCAGACGGATATCTGAATCACTCGGAAACCATGAAGAGCCCGACCAAGCAAGCTTACTCGCATCGGCCTGTGATCTGCAATCAGCTCAGTGAATTGGATGAATTCAAGCAAAAAACGCCCCCTGCGATGCAGGGCGCGATGCACTGCTGGGGGCAGGGCTTTCGGAACACCCTCGCGAAACTGCAGTTCAAGTTGATAGAAGCACACAGCCTAGACATGTCATGTGGTGCCGTGTTTGGTTGTGTTACCAGTTCGCTCTGCAGGCAGCGCGTAAAGCAACCGCTGTCTCTCCCCTGTGCTCGAAGAATGCTGGCGACCTGTTCACGGGATGGGGACAAGATAGGACACCTTCCTCATGGATGGGACTGAACAGGGTGCGGCCTTAGCGACACTCCTGTCCAGCAGTGGATGCTTCCAGCCTCAGCGGCAGCAGATGCTGAGCGGTGCTTCGCGGCTCCTCGGTGGCTCGGTGGCTCAGGGCCGGGACGCCAAGTCGTCAGCAGATGCCCGCTCGAGCGGGTCATGTTCCAAGCACCTCGCGGGAGATCTGGCTACCCTTAGAGCAAGGCTTTCCAGGAGCGGCCCAGCTGTACATTCCTAAGCCATGAGTGGGTGGCACCCTCAGCTGTGCATGGGGCATCTGCTCTTCGTAGGATATTTACTCCGCTTCCTTACAGTTTCTAAGAGAGATGTTCATGCTGCAAAGCTGAGAGCTCAAGTTCCGAAACTAACACAAGGTCTTATCCTCTCCACCTCGTACACATCTGCACCGCCAGGGCGAGATGTGTGTCACCCCTGGGCCAACGAGTTCAGGATTTACGGGGCTGTCCGAATGCAGTCCAACAGGCAAATCTGCAGCCTTGAAGGATTCTGCACAGGTCTACATCGCTCAACTTACGGTAGTATGCCGTCGGTAATGCCAAGCTTTCACACTGCCGTCGCTCGCAGAGCTAATGGCCTGACACGTCAGCATCCCATCTTGCAACCTGATGTCCAACAAAGTCGAAGTCCCGAGATAAGTCCCCTGCTCTTCTGCTTCCGACGCCGCCAGGTGGAGATCGAAGTAAGCCTCGGTAGCGGTTTCGCAATCCTCAACTTAGCACAGCCCAAACCCACAAACCCCATCCTCACCTCCAGCGACATCCAACCGCATCCCCCCAGCATTTCATTGCGAGGAGTAGAATCTGAGCAGAACCCTGCTCTGCCGCACCGTTCCCCGGCTCCGAATCCGACTCCAAGGCCCGGACTTTGGGAAGCTCAGGCGGATTCTGTGCCAGAGCGGTCTGGATAGCCTACACGTAGGCATCTCGAAAGATCGCACGGCTCTCACTGTCTCAGGGTCTTCCGGCTCATCGGGGGGTACCTACCGCGTGACCACCTGCGAAACGGAAGAACTCTTGCCCGGTGAGTACTACCCTAGGCGTTCTTGTCAGAGCCCGACGAGGGAAGGGCAGACTTTCGAAAGCTTTGGGTGGGCTCCTTCGAGCTAGCCCGAGGCAAAGCGAAACGAGGCTAAGAATCGACAAAACCTACTGCGGAAAAGTCCCTGACACGAAGGACTAAGCTGTGAGCTTACGTGCAGCCTGACCACTATGCTCAGCTTTAGCACACCATGAAAAGCCTTTCAAGAAGCGAAAGTGGGAAACTCCACACCCCGAGACCTGAAGATCAGCAGAGACATGAGACGGCAAGAGACCTCCTTCAACCGGTGGCTCTTGGCGAACTGAAACCAAGGATGGGGCCTCTGCTTGCTTTTGGTTCTCACGTTTTGAGGTTCAGGTGCTCTTCGGCGGTGGCTCCAAGGGCTCAGGATTCAACATGGGATGCTGGTTCTGGTCTTTGGAGGTCAACGCTTTTGGGGAACGAAGGCCTTCTGCTCGCCTCTACACCGGGGATTTCGCACATTTCAGAAACAATGGTGCTTAGAGCTCCAAATCTTCGGCAGTGAGCGATTGGAAGTGTGCAGTGTCGGGCGCAACTGCGTAACCTTAGCAACATCAGTATTGTCCAAGTGCATGTCCTGGATTTCGAGTTTGAAAACATCCCCTGCGCCCTGCAAATCCACGTGCATAAGGGCGCAGGAGACCTATTCTCAAACTCGAACTCCAGGAAGACAAACTAATGCGCCCCAAAAGTAACCGAGTTGTCGTACGAGGCCAAAGTTCCCGATCGCTTCAAGATCTTCAAGTGAGATGTCATGCAGGCTCTGTCCTTCGCACTTATATAACTCTCGGCATTGCCGCAGTCTCATGAACCGGGACAAGCTTCACAACTCGGCCCAGGACAGCAGTCGGCCCGGGTGGAGTTGCGAAGCGTGCTTGCACATGATACCCAGTTGTTCAGCTGCCTGCCTGACATACCTTCGCAACTCCAAGTCAATTCGAAATGAGATCCAGGCGTTCCCTAGCCGATGTTGGCCACATCGGCTGTAGAGTTGTCTAACTCGGACATACTCGGACTAGCTCTTCGCAGCGGGGCGCCTGGCCCTGCCAAATCCGCTGCAAGCAGAGCTTCTCGGCTCCGGTGGTCTGCAGCTCTTTGCTTACACCCGCTCACACTCTTCTACCGGAGGCGATGATGCGTGCTCATCTGCCGATGGCATTGCTCCACGCCAGCTGAAGCTCAAGTGTCCCTGGCCGGTCGCTCGCACACTGGCAGTTCCATTTGCTCGTCCGGGCAAGGCAGTGGTTTCTGAAACCTTCGCAGCCGCTGCCCGTGGCACGCTGACAAGCCGGACAGCTGGTGAAGCTGCCAAATGTGGGTGGGAGATGTGGGAGCCCTAGAGAAGCCCACAAGAGTCTACCTTGCAACTCAGAGTCTTCTGTGGCACACACTGATCAGCCTGAGAAGTCTAGTGTCTAGATGCACCAAAGCTACCGGAGGAAGACATCCATGCAATGCATGTTGACAGACCTCCAGCATAATGAACATGCAACCAGCAACCCAGGACTACAAGCATCACTGTCTCATAATATGTTGCTACATCCCTTCAACAGCGAACCCTGCAACACAACCTCCCAACCAAAGCCCCCTTAGTCGCCCAACGCCGGCTTGAAGTTCGCAAACCACACCTGCCAGGTCAGCATGTGTCCCCGCCACAAGCCAGCTGACTTTGCGGCACAGCCGTCACCACCGCCACTGAACGCTTCAGTGGATGTCACTCACTGTTGCAGTTCCCCGAGAGCTTGAAACCACACTTGTCGCAACAAAAGAAAGAGCCGTGCCGAAAGCAGGCTTAGGCTCGCTGGGCTCGCTGAGGCTGCAGCCAGCACCACACAGCCGAAGGACCAAATGTCGCTGGGGGGAGTGGCGTCCTCACCGGGACCTCGGCGCGAGCTGGAAAGACATTCGCCCGGATGACCAAAATCGGACCTTCCACGCTCCAACGTCGCTATTAAGCACAACTGGATCACGTAGACATACACTCTGGGACCCGTACCTTTGAAACCAAAAGTGGCAGGGGCATGCCTTAGCTCAAGTTGTTGCTGAAATCTACGGAAGCCGCAAAAGCCAAAGAAGTGCATGATTGATCTGCATCTCCCAAGAATATTGAAAGTGCTCTGTATTAGGTGCGTGTTTGTGTGCATGTGCACGTATGTGCGTGCGCGTGCGTGTATGTATGTGTGTGTGTGTGTGTACATGTGTGCAAGCATGTATGCGTGCATGTGTGCATGTGTGTATGCATAGGTGTATGCATGTAGTGCGGCATGCCTGCATAATTGCATGCATGCATGCATGCATGCATCTAAGTAAGTATGGTCGTATGTATGTTTGTCCATATGCACGCGTGCATATTACGATTGTACGCACTCGCATCTATTCGTGTGACTTCGTCTCTATGTCTGTATGTAGGTCTGTATGTATGTATGTATGTATGAATGTATGCATGTATGTATGTGTGCGTGCATGTACAAATGCACGCACGACCTAGCCCAAACAGAACCCCTGCAGGCCCAAGCCGCCCTTCATTCCGGCGTTGGCCGGGGGTCCATGCCAGTCTCACCTTGGCTGCACTCGCTTCAGGGAGCAGCTCCGTGCAGGTGGCACCGCCAGGGATAGAAGCGGGCTTGGTGCGAGACCGCCGCTGTAAAAGCTGAGCTGGCAGCACGAGGCTCTAAGCTCGTCTCGTCCATCAGAAAGCTTTCCTTGGCCAAGTGGTGCACTCTGTGTCTCGCGGAGCGCAGCCCTGCCATATTGGAAACACTTCACTTCACACTCCAAAGTTGTTGAAGCAAAAGCTTGGGATGTGTGTCTCAGCCAGCTGCTGGGCAAAGATGTCCGTGGGTCACACCGTTCTTGTGAAGGTACGCAATGGCCTTGCAGATCCGGGATAGATTTGCGCGAGTTCGGTAGTGTTTCGGGCCTTGGCACGCTTGCAGGTTTACAATTCACATCTCCGCGATACTGTAACATGACCAAACCCGACTTCTAAGAAACCCCTCATCGTACGAATACCTCCCCCATGTTGCCCTGAGCCCTCCCAGTTGATGACTGGCGGCTTCACTTTACATTCAGAATATCTTTCTCTTCCTAGGTGACTGTAGCTGTTTGGGAGGCAGTGCTCGTCCCGCCTTCGAGCCTTGCGCCAGCAAGAGATGACAGCCTCAAGGAGACGTGGGCCGAGAGTGACTGCATCGCCCAGGGTTTGGATCGGAAAACAACATAGGCATCCGAAAATGTCTCTCGGCATCTCCACGCATCATGGCCTTGAAGACTTGGAACAGATCTGTAAGAGAGATCTATATCTGGTGACTCCGTTCCTAGAGCTTGTGGCCAAGGCGTGCCGTCAAGCCTTCAGCTTCAATTCATCCCTTGCTGAGGCAGATGCGATCTTTCGAGAAAGTGAAGTGGCGCAGTCCGTGAAATGTTGGCGCTGTCTGGCAACATGAGGAACGAAAATAATAGCTTCTGCTGTTCAAGATGCAATGCACTCAACAACGAGACCCCATTCGGAACAGGCGCGAACGACAACGCATTGGCCTTGCAAGAAATTGGGCAGAACTGCAATCATGTGATTTCCCTTCCGCTGTCCTGTGCTCAAGTCACCCGCCTGGTGGACAATCACCATAGTTGCTCGTTCAGTCCCGTATCCGAGGATGGTGTGCAACACCTCCGCCGGGCAGATCTGCATCAAAATGACTCCATACTGCATCAGCTGGAGAAGAGCACTTCATGGAAAAAGGATGTAACGGTCAATGCATCCAGCAAAGGCTCTTCCGTTCTGACATGTGTTCGGAAGGCCATTCTGCAGGCAGTAGGAAGGCCTCCTACGGTGTAACGACACTCAATCCAGACGGTACGACGAAGAGTTTTGAAGCGACGAAGACTTGAGCATGCTTGCAGCACAGAGGGGACACGGGCATCTCATGTCAGTGGCGATGGGACATTTAAACCCAGTTCGTTCCATGCCCAACATGTAGACCACCCCGCCCAGCCCTGTCTTTCAGGGTGTCTACTTGACTTCAACCCTGGCAGACTGCCTCGTTGTCCACGCTCAGCTCTCGCCACATGGCAGCAACCTCGGAGGGTTCTTAAAAGACTCCCGCCAGTGCCCAGAACCCAACGATGTCCTGGGAGGGGGTGCTGACTTGACGCATGTTCACGAGAGCTTCGTCAAGCATCCTGAGAGCTGAAACCCGTGTCCACAAGCATCGCGCCAATTGCGTTCCAAACCCTGCATAGCGCACCCCAACCCAAAACACACAACAAACATTCGGGAGAAGGAGGAGTTGAAAGCAGAGGAATTCTTTGGGGAGCCCTCTTCTTCTTGACTCTTCCTCTTTTGGGCCCCTGGGTCCTCGCACCGCTTCGTGGCGCTCGAGGGTGCGGCGCCGCTCCGCTCGAACGCATGAAGTGGCCTTTGATGACGTCGCAAAAGGTCAAAACCCGAAACATCCACAAGAGCTTGAACCCTGAAGCACAAATCCGTCAAAGGCCTGAACCAAACTTTGAGCCCGAAAAGCCCGACGATTTGCAGCTGCAAGTGGACGGGCACCGGCAGCTATCTTTTGTTGAGTTTAACTTGTCGAGCCTGGCGTGAGCCTGGGAGGAGTCGGACTCGAGATTCGGATCGTGCGCATGATGGGACCCACGCTTGCCGAAACTCGCCCGACAGCTTTGCCCACCAGTTGTTGTGGTCCTGCAGTGTCAAGCTAAGTTGTCCTCCATGTCCACACCCCTCAATCCGGCAAGGGCCTTCGCTCGCGCGAGCTCATTGTCTAGGTCAACCTCCATCCAAGCCTCACCGGCTCAAAGAGTGAGACATTTGTGCTTGGAGGGCTGTAGCTCATGCTCTGTTTGGCTGGCTGTGCTTTGAACGTCGGGTGGGCCTATACTCTGTAGTACGTACGTTCGAGTAGGATCAGCTGCTTATGCAGCAAGGTCCAACGCTGAGGATCGTCGTGGGCCCATGACCAGCGCTGGAATCTGACCACTCGCACCTCTAGCATCCGGGGCGCTCGCGCAGGGTGATGACACTTTCGCCCACCCAAGCACGGGTGCAGACGGCTCCTCTACGAGCTCCACCTCGACCTGCATGAAGACTGTCGACCCCTAAACGGAACTTGAGACATCTTGCAGACCTCATCGTGAGACTTTGCGGTGGCAGCACAGCCTCGCATCTGAGCCCCTGACCTTACAAATCGTGTCGGCCTGAGCATAGTTCAAGGGCTATTCGTTTCATCGTGTTTCATCGTTTCAGCAGGGACCCGAGAGCTCAGGCCAGGGCAGTGCTGAAGCTTGCGGAAGACGTCGCATCATCGCCTTCGAGAGCCCCCAAGTGTTGACGTAGCTACATTGGGCGGAAGGGCGGAAGGGCTTTCCCCAGTTGAGCTGTTTCTATGAGGAAGCCTCTGCAGCACATCATGTTGCGACACATCAAAGTAGCCACCCCGAATGAGTCACGACAAATGAGAGCGGTGCTAGACCCTCCAAAGACGCAAGCCGCCGTTATGTGACCTATGTAGGATGACAGGCCCGCCATCCAATTTGGTTGGGGGAGGAACCCCAACCCGAATAAATGCGATCAGGCATCGAACCCTGCACCTCGGTTCCTCAGCCTTCGAAATCCGAAAGCTCGGGAAAAGGTCGCTCCTCGCTTAGCAACAAGAGTTCGCAGCGTCTGCCTGAGAGCAGCCGCTTCCGGGGCGAAGGCGCACGGGACTCGGCCTGGTGCTCAGATGCTTTCGATCTCGAGGGCTTGTCGGCTTGTCGAACTCCCAACCACAGCCACAAATAGTCCCCTTGTGATCGAGACAAGCCCCGTGACTTAACGAGCCTCTAAGCAACAGCAAGCATCACCACCTTCTGTTCTGGTGCTCTCTTCAGAAACTTGGCAGGGCATCTCGACCAAGAGTTTGGGGCTTCCGGGCTTCTGTAAGGCCTGCCAGGCCTTTCCCGCCAACTCTTTTAGACTCGAAGACCCTGCGACGCCCAGAGTGCCCTGGCAACGCCGGCAGCAGGGGTCGCCACCGGAGAAGGGAGTGGCGACAGCAGTGGGGAAGAAACCTGCGCAAGAGGCCGAGGCTGAAAAGGCAAAGGATTGCTCGCGAAAGGGTGGCCCAAAAACATATTGACACCGAACGTCCTCCCCGAAAGGGCAGGCACATGCAGACACGGTGAGAGTAAGCAAGAACTGCTGTGTGAAATTGGTGTCAAGACGTCCACTCTAGATCGAAAGCATGACTGAAGCTCGGATGATCCTCTACAAATCCTGCGTTCATTCAAAAGCCTGAAACCCAGACACCTGTACAAGCCCTCGAGATCCTTACAACCAGCCCGAGCCCGCTTGAGATAGACGTGCCTCGGACCAGGAAGAGTTTGAAAACCTTGCAAGGACTCTTGTGCCTCTGTGCATCCTGCTATGTTGAACCGGCCTGAAACCATTTTTTGTCTGGGCCTCGGCCTGACATGGCCTGGCACCGAAGAAAAATGGCCCCTCCGAGGCTCCGCACGATGGTGGCGACGAGGTCGGGGACTCGACGCTCTTGGACCTCGCAAGGGCGGCAGAAGCTCAGAGGATCGCCCGGGCCTTTTTTTTTCCGGACACTGAGCCGCTGGAGCGGCTACTGCCAATTACCTCACTTCTTCACCTTCGTCTGCGTCTGAGATTCCAGCCTTCAGTCTCGGGTCTACCGATTGAGACATCGACGACAGATGGGCCAGAGACCCACTTTGCAGCTGTAAGCCACTCATCTGTATCCTTTCTGGAAGACCTCCCGTGGAATCTTCCTCTGCTGTGTGACTACGAAGCCCTGGGCCTCGAGGAAGTCCCGGATGCGCTTCCGGCCGACAGAACGTAGCTGGTCATTCGCTGAGCGAATCCTTTCGGCCAGCTCCTCTATCTCCATGAGTTCAAAACACAGGAGCTTCTCGTACAAATTGCGGTCGCTGCGGATCGTCTCTGCGAGAAGCTGCTCAGTCTTTGCAACCTTGGCTTTGCGGGCCTCGGCTTTGGCAGCTGCTTTTGCCTCCTTGTCTACGATGTTGGTCGTTCTGGTCCTGGCCGTCTTCTGCCTGTCCTTCAGGCTCTGGGCCAAAGTTTTTCGCTTCTGCTTGGCTTTTGCCCGAGGCTCAGGCGATCTTCGCCTTTGCTTCGGAGATCCTTTGGGGGAGAACCAGGCTTCCAGCGTCTGCGGCGTAACCGCCTTCTTGGGCGTCAAGGCGATCGCCTGTGAGGGCGATGCCTCGGGCCGCGATGCCTTCTCAGGCGTTGCTTTCTCCTCGGGTGCCTTTCTGGGCCTTTTGGGTGTCGTCGGCAGTACTTCCACGACATCATCGCTGCTGCCATCGCTTCCGGTCGCTGCGCAGCGGGGTGTCGAAGGGAAGTCTGCAAAGAGCATGCTCAAAGGGAGATTTTCTTCGTCCTTCAGCTTGTGTGGCAGTCGCGGTGGCCTTCCACATGACTTGGCATCCTCATCCTGTCGACCAACAGCTGAGCTGAAGCTGGAGGGATCTGCTGGCAGCTGGAGAACTGAATCATCCAAGGAAGCCGCCACAGCTGGTGCCGAAAGCAAGCATGAACTTCGCCTGGAAGGCTCATCCTCGGAGCTAATGTCAATCTCAGTAGCTGCGATGCTGTCCTCGCCAACCTTCGGTTGAAAGATCCCATGCATGGCCATGCAACCTCCAAAGACCCAAGCATGCCCTATTGCAGGGAGATCAGGGAGGTCTACCGTTTGTTTAGTAGAGTAGTGGACACACAGACGTGGATCGGATTTTGACAAGCCCAGTGCACTTACTTCTTGGCGTTTGGCCTTTGTGGCCGGGTGCTGTGGAGGGGTGTTATAGTCCAGTTATCTTGGGCAGCTGCGGATCAACATAGGCAGAGTTGGGCGCAGCAAGAAGAGGCTGAAGCCTAAGCTCTACCGACTTTGTCACGGCTGGGAGCCTGGGCTCCCACCTACGGTAGCAGGCCCCGAGGCTGCAACCCAGGGTCGAAGCGACGAAGCCTTCGCTCGGCACAGGGCTTTCACTTAGCGCTACGGCAGCCACAATCCTCCCCCAGATGCCACGCCCACAACCCGAATCGCATGCAAAGATCGAAGTGGTGGCTTGCAGGACCCAAACTGCAGGAAGGGCTTGAAGAATCTGGCTTCACTTGCATTTCCTTCCGACAGAAGATGCGACTTTTGGATCGGCTTCAGCTTCAGGCCCTCCGGTCAGACATCCTGCACTTCCACCTCCGCTGTCACTACACCTCCATCCTCCTGAGTTACCGCAGACACCCCTTGGCTTCCGGCAGTGGTTGTGCTTTGGCCGGTGCAGCTTTGGACGTGTGCCGCGTCTGTGCAGATGGCTGGAGCGCTTCACGCTGCGATGTTCTGATGAGACTTCTGATTGGGGGCAGAGCACTTTCGGGGATGCGCTGCAAGGGCGAAGGTGTCTGGCTCGCTCTTTAAGCAACACATGATGACAGACCGAATCAGCTCGTCTACGTTACACTCAATCCCTCACTCAGCCTCGGCATGTGTACCTCGGCTGCAACGTAGAAGAACCCGGCATGCTGCAACATTATCTACATGTCTCACTTGGAAGCTCTCGACAGGCCGCAGGAAACGACTTTGAGCAAACAGGCCGAGGTGCAAGTCAAATCGCCCAGGAATGCCTGTCTGTCGTGTTTAGTGAGCTGTACTCCTGGTCGAACAAGGGCTTCACACTCGATACTTTTCGTTGGTGTTGGGTCTATGGAAGAGCTCTTGAGAGTACTCGCCGGAGGTGTTTGGTTCTGCGCTAGCGCATATGATATGAGATGTCAGCAGCCGCAAAGCTAAGCGCCGTGTAGCATTGAATGTTCAGGCGCGAAACACAGCTTACCAAGCTGCAACCTCAAACCGAACTGCTAAGCTGAAGCTCGAGCACGGCGAGGACTAATCTGATAAGGATCAAACCTTCCAGACTTGAATTAGCCCACATCAGACGGGTCCTGCATCCAGGTGTCCAGAAACGAAGACACCCCTGCATAAATGGAAGGGGCCACTGACGCAACATGACGCAACTCTGCTTCATGAAGTCTGCAATCAGAAACCCTCCACCCGGACCCAGACTTGGCAAATGCCCGCTCTGGTCTTCCTCTGCACATTTCTAAACACACTGCAGGGCAGAGTGAAGGGATTCTTCGCTCTCAGAGCCTGTCCAAAGAATGCACCAGCGAAGCTTGTCGTTCCTCAGGGCACGGGGCAACACACGACACGTGGGCATTTCCAGAGTTGGGAGCCGGAGGAGTCACGGCAGATGGCAGAGATTGAGAAAGCGACATCTCAAGACAGAGTCTCACACACACACACACACACACACACTCTGCAATGCAGAGTTCGCTGGCCTCTGCCCCATCGGGAATTGCCCACTTGCGCGGGTCAGCATTGTCATCCTCACCAGACGCACATCGTGAAGTGCTAGTGAGAAGTCTCTTCGGAAGACGAGTACCTACACTCCAATCCTTAGCACAATCCTTGGGAAGTTGGTGGGTATCTTGGCTGTGCGCCCTACTCTCTCGAAGCCGATGGAGAATCCAAGGTTGCAGCCGTTTTGCACACGCTGGGGTTCGGCAACGAGAGGTGCTGTCCGCCGAATCACATCCGGATTGCAGGATCGAACGGCATGGGAGATGGAACAAGGTTGCGGCTCGGATTCCAGACACCTCTGGCGAAGCCCCGACGGCTGCGACCAGACTCAATCACGGACGTACCTTTCATCCAAGGACGTTCTATAACCACATGATGAAGCACACCTCTGTCGGGGCCCTCCCTCCGCTGTCCTTGCCGACTGCAGAGATGGGGATTTGTCCTTCCGTTACTTCCGTTCTTTGCGAGGGAGCTCCGTCTTTGTGCGGTGAACACAAGATCAACTCTGGGAAAATCCCGCCAGATTGCCGACATTGCACGCAATCCAATTGCCAGGTTCGTCTGGCTTCGGTGCAATCTAGTTCTTCAAACATGGTGAGAGCCTGGCGCCACTGCGGGCTGTGTCCGGGCAGCGCACACATAACCTAACGCTTTCGATGCCTGCACCCCACCTCAAACAGTCAGTCCGAAGTCTCCATAAGTGTGGGTACAAGAATTATCAGAGTTTCACAACCTGCGCTGTCACACATCCCACAGTGTAGGAAGTGCCCATGCCGCTCGTTGGCGCGCACGCCCTGAGGCCCTAAACGCAGGGACTGCTCAACCTGTTGCCCCACTGGGGGGGATTCAAGGAGTAGCCACGCCTGCTGGGATGCTGCCACAGCTAAACGGCTCCTCGCTGGGTGTACTCTGAAGCCAATTTCTCTGATGCTCGAAACCTAAACTCAGCTGGAAGATGTGGAACGGGAACCAATCGGAGACTATGGGCCTCCTCCCTAGTGTCCAAGTCTGCGATCCTTCTGGCTGAGAACTCATGACGAGGATGATTCAGCATGTATGCGTACACTACACATGAGACTTGGCGCGAATGCCCAGCCCATAGGGAAAGACGCATCCAAAGGCTCGGCTGCCAAAATGCGATGTAAACCCGAACCATGAATGCCTACTTGTCTGTGATTCGGGTTCGTGCTGGAGACTAGTGCTTCGTGTTCCCTACTTTCACATCTTTTGGCCTGTGGCCATGAAAACCTTCCGCAAAGCATGTGGCAAATTGGGCTGCCTCGCGAGCAGCGAAGGTGAACCCGCGCATTTGTACGTCTGTGAAATCGCAAAAAGTTCGACAGTAGCGGGAAGGAAGTGCACTAACTCAAGCCTCGGCAAGCATGGCCCAGGGTCCGTTATCCCTTCACTGCGCGCATCTGCAGCGCGGGGCCAGCATGTTCGTCTTCTTGGCCCTTTAAAAACTGCAGGCCCCCCCTCCACCTACATGCGCAATTAGGGCCACAAAAGGTTGAGAAAAAGCCACCCCGAAAGCCACTGCCCCTAACCCTACCCCCGAGGTCCAGCCCCAAATAGTCAGCCCAAGCGCAAGTGCAGGCCAAGTGAGGCTTCATCTGCCAACCACGAGCTCACCGGCAGGAGATTCGGTTGCTGCATTCCAGATCTTTGAGACTTGTAGCATGCCAAACCTTGACCCCTCTTTTTTGCTGCACAACCTGCGAAGAACTGGATTTTGTGTTTGCTCCCCTCCTGCGAAAGATGAAGTCTGAACAGCTTCTACTTGCGACTTCTATGGCCTAGCGTCGAGCATCCGCTGTGTCCGTACGAAACTTCTGCTGTGATAGCCCGCAGGCCCATGCAATCGCTAGCGTCTGAATCAGCGACGATTTGAGGCACGAAATTCCACATGATCCACCGTGTCTCCACAAAGATATCCTATGTGAAATCGAGCCCCGGCAAGCGAAGCCCAACCAGAATCTGCATGCAGACTGCTTCACAGCAAGCCCTTTCAAGCCCGAGGTGGAGAAAAACACAACGATGGAACGCTGAAGACGTCTGAGCGTTTCTCGCATCAACTTTGAAGAGCTGCTGAAGCCCATCGTCCACTAAATCTCTAGAGACATCATCTTAGCATGACCAGCGCCGTGCCGCAAATCGTAAGGCTGAAAGTCCAGGGTGGCATCAAAATTTGGCTCCTTCTCCTGTGCAGAAGAGAAAGGTTGGAAAGATAAACACGAGTCTTTGACACAAGTTTCTGCAGAGCTGTTGAGTTTGGTGGTACGGGACTCTTGAAATCAGAAGATCGCATGTAGGGACGACATGTCTGAAGCCGCTGGCAGTGTAGCAACAGATAAGGCTTCTCCAAGCCTGTCAGAGGCTTCGTTTGGCTTAAATAACGCGACACATAGTTTCATCAACTCGGAACATTTGGGTGTCAGGTCGTCACACGACCCAGAAAAAAGAACAGGCGGAGGTCAATCGAGCAAATCGGAGCTTAGACGAGGGCAATCCTATCGTGTGCCGTCCTTGAGGTCGAAGGTCCGCCGTCTGTGCCGCATCGCTGCTCAGTGCGGGTACTCCGGGTACTCCACAGGGTCGGCAGCGAGGTTCGCAGTAACAACTACTTGTGAAACCTCCCTGTCGGGTCTTTGCGATTTCCAGTCAACGTCGGAGCGATGCGTTGCAAGCCGTGACGACAGTGACGGTGATGGTGAGGATGATGATGATGATGATGATGATGATGATGACGACGACGATGATGATGATGATACTCGCTCGCGCCCGGCATCGCTCCCAACATTTCTGGAGATGAAAGCCCGCAAGAAGCAGTTGGATCACCGGCACAGAAAGGGGCTTCCGGTGGTGCCTGGGGAGCTGTAAGATCTGGCGGGCCCAGGAGCTTGGAGCGCTGACAGGCGATGATCCCCTGGTGGAAGACGTGATAAGAGAAGGCACGAAGATGCCCTCCCAGGCTGCAGCTTTAGAGGTTCCTCCACTCCGACACTGCATCCTACACGTCGCCCAAAGCAACAGCCTGAAACCAGCAGCTTCGCCTTCGCGCTGTGCAGACAGAGCTCTCAGAGACACGACCGACCCAGAGCTGGTGGCTACGACCTGGCTCTGGGATTCTTTACAGCGAAGTCCCAACAAGCCCTAGGCCTCGACCCCTTGCGGAGCAAGCTGTCCTGCAAAACCTCTCTTTGCACAGGGTCTGTTCGACAGTAAAGCTTTGAACATCAGCATCGGATGTACCCTCGGCTTGCAGGCGCTTGTCACTGCAACACCTAGATATCCCGGAGTGTACTACATGGACTTCAGAGGCTTTGAAGGCCATGATGTCCACGGTTGCACTGTTGGGACCAGAGGCTGCGGAGCTGTGGTCGTTTCTCTGTGGGCACGGAGCTCCCTTGTCTGTGTAGCTAAGAATCCGAATTCTCGTGCATGGTGTGTCAGGCGCAAGCTCGTAGAAGCTATGCAAAAGAATTTATGGAAAGTCGAGCACCCCTGGATTTTAAGCTGGGGAAGAGCCTCGGAATGCAGGTTGGTTCGGTTGCGGCCGACCGTGCCGTGTGGCTGAATGGCTGTTGGAACGTGCATACCGATGAAGAATCTTGCTGCCTGTGTCGTCTCGCTTTGTTGATGTGCTCGACATGAAGAGTCTAGCGTTGGTCTAGCAATCAACACCGGGTGAGTCGAACAGCAAACCGGGAACAGGAACAACCAAGCCGTCTAACCTGCAATCCACTCCTTCCTCCCGGCACTTAACTTTAATTAGCATGACTAGTGAGCTAGACCACCACCACCACCACCACCACCACCACCACCACCCCGCCGCTGCCTTAACTACGAGCACGGCTACGGTTATGAAATTACCACTGCGACGACTAGAAACGAAGACTACAACTACTACTGCTGTTTCTGCTACCTGTGCTACTTGTGCTACTTGTGCGTGCTACCACTACCACCACCACTACCACTAAAACTACGACACACACGACTACACTACGACCACACTACGACTACGACGACGACTACTGCTACTGCTACTTATCCTGCAGCAGCAGCTGCTGCTGCGGCTGCTGCGGCTGCTGCGGCTGCTACTGCTACTACTGCTAGTACCACTGCCACTACCACCACCACCACCACCACCACGAAGTTACTGTTACTGCCAGTGCCACTGCTACTGCCACTGCCACTGCCGCTGCCACTGCCGCTCCGGCTCCTGCTCCTGCTCCTGCTCCTCTGCTCCTGCTCCTGCTCCTGCTCCTGCTGCTGCTCCTGCTGCTGCTGCTGCTGCTGCTGCTAATACTGCTACTACTGCTAGTACCACCGCCACTACCACTACCACCACCACCACCACCACGACGCTACTGGCTCCTGCTCCTGCTCCTGCTCCGGCCACTGCCACTGCTGCTGCTGCTGCTGCTGCTGCTGCTGCTGCTGCTGCTGCTGCTGCTGCTGCCGCCGCGGCCGCTGCTGCTGCTGCTACTGCTCCTGCTAGCGTTACCGCTACTGCTCGTTAGGATCCTGTGTCTAGGCATCGCATGATCAACCGTTGTCGCAATCCGAGCATGATACGGACTATTCGTACCGTTACCATTCACATGACTGGAATCGGCAAGATCCTCGGAATGATTCTAGCCGTACCCCTCGGTTCGTCTTGTGTACTACATAGTGCAGCTAGAAGTAGCTGCCATCTGCGACAAATGCAACAGTAAAAGATGCCTAAACCCACAAACCCTAATCCCAAAACCCAAAACTACTAAACACATCTTTCGCATCGGGGACTCTGCAGCGCCAGACACGTCATAGGGGTTGCATCTCTGCATCGGCGCTGGCCCATGCTCCATCAGGAGTCAAGCAAGCCGTCTTGACCAGGATCTCACAGCATTGCTAAGTCAATGCACATGTCGGTTCTTGTGGCTGGGTTTCAACCGACCTAATCAGGCCTTCTCCGAGAAGTAATCCCAGGATTCCGAAGCCAGCGCCCGCTCAGGCCAACGATGAGCGACTGCGATGATACTGGGAGGTCATTCCTGCAAAGCGGCGGTTGAGGTGAAGGACCGGATGACATGCGTGACTCAGATCCGGCAAGATACAAGGCACACGGTCTGGTCTCAACTTCACGAAAAAACATCAAGAACTGCAGCTTGTGCTGAGCTGCTCGTACCTTTGTAGCTGCAGCTGAGGTTCCGAAACTCGCACACAGCATCTGAGAATTTCTTGACGCCGAGATGGCATTCATCACACTGCCCTTGGATGGTCGGCCGCACACACCCGAGACACACGAGCCAGCTGTGCCGACGCAGATGTGTGGCCAGCTGTTGGGACTAAATGTTGGTTTCTGTTCGAGGTCTGCGTCTAAGCTACAGTGTACAACGGTCCTGCGCTCGCAAACCAACAAGGCACGGGGCGTCAACACTAGATGATTTGCACGACAACATCCACACGGATGACTTCGTGTGATCAGAAAGAGCATCGCAAAAAGCACGCGTCAAGGTGTTATGCATCTGCATGTGTATACGCACGTGCATCCTTCATACCTTGCCCCAACCCCAGCAAAAGCAAAGTCAACAGGGCTTCCACGAAGGGTTTGTGTCTCAAGCTACAGTTGTGATAAAGAATTTCAGGATCATGAAAGGAAAGATCCAGTGACGCGGTGATTCATGTCGGCTTCCCTTATCCAAGACGAGGTGCAGCAGCTTTCCTCACCCCACCTGGGCTTGCAGCGCTCTCGACTGACAAATCAAGTCCGAAGGCTGCGGGAGGCTGCAAATCTCGCGCCAGTTTCTCAGCTGACTGAAACCGGCTGGCACCGCTGACCCGGCTGAGCAGCTTCGTAGCCGCGCCTCGCCCTTGACAGGGTGCATCGACAGGGTGCACCGACAGGGTTCGGCGCTGCCAATAATGTGCATATAAATCAACACAGAGACATGTCTACAAGCCAAATCATTGTGACGTCACCTGTCACCTGTCGAATCGGCATACAACGCAGACAAGTCTCGTTAGGCGCACACAACAACGCGAAAGCATTCGCTCCTACCTAACACAACATGCAACTGGCACAGCGGACTCTCTTTTTCCTCGTCCCACTGGCTGAGGTGCATGGAACGTCTGCACGGGGCGGAGTCCTCTGGACCCCCCCCCGAACAGCGCGATTTCGCCGGGTGGGAGAGGTGGGTGCTTTCGCAAACCCTCTCTACAACTCACCCCACAGGGCATACACTGCGACTGTTCAACGCTGCGGGGTATGTAGCAAACGTGCGCTTCCACTCGACTTGTCCTAACATGCACACGTGCATTACACTACAAGAAGACAAAGCACACGAAAGGACGCAGGGTATGGCTGCTCTTTAGGTCGCAGAACGTACGAGGAAACGCGGTCTTATCCGTTGACTGCACAAACTTGTAGTCTAGAAGCACTAGGCTGTTTCAGCTAGGTTGCAAGTGTTTCCATGCAGAACCGCAGCTGCAAGCAGGTCTCGGCTTTTTAGAAGCAGAGACAAAAAAAGAAGCAGCAGTCTCAGCCACCCTTCAGATTAAGTTCTTCCTTGGTCATCACCGGAATGCCATGGAGTTTCCGATGGATTTCCCGAGCCAACGCGCTCTTCCCAGCGGCGATCTGTTCCACTGTCAGGGCGGCTGCGTGCTTCAGCGTCTTGAGAAGCTCGTGGCTTACGACGAGCTTCTCAAGATGCTGAAGCGCGCAGCCGCCCTGACGGTGGAACAGATCGCCGCCGGGAAGAGCGCCTGGGCTCGGGAAATCCATCGGCGACCATTTCAGTGACAACCGGCACCAGATTGGAACGACATGTCAGTGTCGTGGCAACATCTAGGAGTACTATGAGGTAGGTCGCCGCCAGAAGCCCGACAACGGACGGCCTAATGTCTGCTACTGCAACCTCCAAGTCCAGTCGCTCGGGCAGTGCTGGGTCGTGTGAGGCCTGCGGCTCTGTCGTCGGGTTCGGGCCGTATGAGGTAGAGGTTCTCTGTCGCCGACTCCTGTGTGCCAGTCTTGCTCTCTGGCTCCTGCAAGCCTGTAAACGACGTAGCTCCGCAGAACTCGGTGACTGCGAGGTCACTGGCGAGGTCACTTGACTGGGCCCTCGTTTGCGCTTGATGCGGCGCGGTGTCTGCACCACTGCTCCCATCGCCTGCCAACCTGGCCGTGGTCGCCTGAGAAGGCCTCGGCGACGTCCAGCTGAGTGGCTGCGACCTCAGGCTCCCGTGGCTCCGTTTGCGTCGGGACGTCCCAAGACATCGCACTGTCATCAGACATGGCGAAGCACCTACGACAAAATGCCTTAGTGCTCTTGATCCTAAGAAGAGGCCGGGATGGGTCGCCTGGCCAACATGAGGAGCACTCGGAAGGTCGCGCGCGACTGATTGCCAAGATAAGCTAACGGACAGAACTACAACCTCCCAGCATACTGTCGAGCGCACCTCTTTGGACCCTCTTTCACCCGCCTTTGCCCAGTTCTCCGGCGACGTCATGCTCCGGCGGAAGCCCTGGCCGCGGTGTTACAAGGGCTTTGCAGGTTGGCCTGTGCTCTGAAGCCTGCATTCGGCTAGGAAAGCCTATATCGTGACCCCGAAGAACGGATCGCAATCGTTGCTACTGCTATTTCTACTGTTGCTGCCTTGCAGCTATGCTTGTTTGCCTGGCAGTCTTCTGATCATGACGATTGGCTCTCAAAGCACTTTCTTTGAAAAGGGTCTTGGGGTTTAGGGTCTCGGGAAAGACTTCGGGTTGCAAGGTAGGTTGCTCTGCCCTACGTGCTCTGGTCTCCTTGCCATTTCAGCCCATCCGGCAATAAAGAACCGAAGCTCTCCTCTTCAATAAAGGACCGCATTTAAGTTGAAAAGACTGCCAAGCCAACTCAGGCAGGTGGCCGGTCGCTGCTCACCCAGGCTGTCGGTTTGTGCCTTGGCGGCTACGCGAAAGCTTTTTGGCAAGCCAAGACGGACGGAACCCGAAAGGCTGCAGTGACGAGCAGCCCCAAGCGGAGAAGCCCGGTTTTGCAAGCAAGCTGCCCTTGCAAGTTGCTTCTCAGGATTCGCAGGCTTCGCAGGTGCCAGCGGCGCCTTCCACACGACCCTGCTTCCTGAGAAACTTCCTCCCACCATCAACCTTGAATAGTGTTCCGCGAACTTACAAGCCTCAACCTCGGTGAATCTGCTGGCCTTGATCTCATCGATATTGAGGTCGCGCTGGTCATTGAAGAGCTGGGTCAAAGACATCTTGGGATCAACTTGGTCTTGGTGTTTCAAAAATGTGAAGGACGCCACGCAAAAACACGGGGACTCTCTGAATGCCTAGATGTGCTGGGAGGCAGCTCAGGGTGGACAAAATTTGAGATCCTCATGCAGGCCTTCAGGAGCGTGGGCAGCTCCTCTACGCTTTTCATGGCGTTTGCCTGGAGCTTCACAACGGAGGAATCGTCCAACCGAGCGTGTCTGAGTCCGAGCCCGCCTCCGCCACGTCCTCAGCGATGGGCGCCAGAGCTACGATGTCAGACTCCTGCAAGTCCTGCTGCGGCAGGGCGGTCACGAAGTCAGCCAAGCCGCTTCGCCACAGCTCTAAGTTGAAGTTGTTACACTGCACTCCGCCAGCCTTTGCCAGGTCAGGCAAGTACTCCACAGGAGCCTCCTCAACTTGCGCCTTGGGAGCTCAGATCTGGGAGTCTAGGCTGAAGCCAACATGGGCCAACGGATGCCTACGGGCCTACGGCCTGGGCTTTGCCTTGGAAAGGGCTTTGGGCGTCGAAGAGGGCACAGTGCCCCGCACAACACAAAGCTCCAGAAGTATAAAGACACACGTGGATGACAATGGTTTGTCAGAGCAGAGGATGCAACTGTAAACAATCCGGCCTGGTGCTACGACAGTCCTCACGTCCCAGATACTTAGAGCGACTTCAGCGACCTTTGCATTGCTCCTTGGGGGAGCACAAGCCTGTGACACAGCCGTAACGGAAAGCCAGATGTGCTTCAACCAGAGCATCCGGGGAGCAAAGCAAGCGCAGCTGGTGTTGCCCATCTTTCTCCTTGCAAGGATGCATGTCACGGCTGTGATTCCATAATCAATGTGGAGCTACAGCACAGGATTCGGATCGACGTTGCCCATTACAGCCTAGACAGTTTCCACAAGACGAACCAAAGCTGCATGGCATCGGTCCCCAGCCCAAGAACAGCAAACTCTCTACTCTCGCGGCTCCTGCGCGAGGAACGTGAAGCAAGCGGGCAAGCAAATTGCTGCGGGAAAGGGTTTCGGAAAGCGTCTGTGGGTCAACTTGCTGCCGCTGGGTCAGAATCAAAAAATCAGGCCTGGTTCGAAAGCCTGAGCTTCTGTTGCTTTAGCAACACTCCCCACTCCCCACAAGCCGGAGATCAAGTGAAGATGCTGGAGATGATTCTGATGGTGATGATGATGATGATGATGATGATGATGATAGTGATGCTGATGCTGATGCTGATGCTGATGCTGATGCTGATGCTGATGCTGATGATGATGATGCTCCTCTTCCTACTCCTCATCATCATTATCATCATCATCATCAGCAGCAGAACCATCACATCATAATTCATAATCATCAATATCGTCGTACCATCATCGTGCAGCGAAAATGGCAAAAGGGAATAGCAACGAGAACAATCATGAAACGAATTTCACCATTGATTTCATCCTTCGATTGCATGCCCAAACGAATTCATTCAACCAGGAACGCGCAAAAATCTCAACAATCGTATGTAGGCGGACTGCCTTAGCACTGACAAGTTTCCTTTATCCTCGGACACCCCGGCCGGTGGCCTTCTGCAGGCCCAATAAACTCGGCAGCGCGTGACCTGGGCAAGGCATGCGGCACCAGCGCGACTCTGCACACGAGATCAACACAGAGAGGGTGGCAACCATGACCACGGGAACTCACGCACTCCAGAATACGGCACCCCGGAGGGTCGGGCCAGGAATGGACATTACGCAAGCTTGGGAAATAACTTCAGTTTGACCTCGGCATATTGGAAGTTGAAGCCGCCTGTCGGAACTGTCGTGCAACTGCATCAACAGCAGCAACAAGACCCCTTCGAGGTTTTCGTTGAAGAAGATGCTGCGAAGTGCAGTGGAAGACTCGTGGCATCTGGGAAAATGGGGCAGATACAAAGCTCCACGCTGAGAGAACGGCAAACCTTCAACCCGACATTCAGAGATGTTGAAGCGAAACCTTCCTGCCTGTTGCAAGCCTCCAAAGACTAGTACCGTAGGTGTGCACAGAAAGACTCCAGAGCCCAAGACACAACTCTCAGAGTTGGGCCGCAGCTTCCACCCGCGACTCCCTTCAGCTCCTGACAGACGTCGGCTGCATCCGTGCAGCGGTCTGGGTCGGCCGCCGCCTGCGTGACTCCGTGCAGAAGTGTCGGCAACTTTCGGACTTGGCGAGACTTTCGGCGCCTTTTCCGAAGCCGCTTGCAAAGCTCCAGAGAAATACCTCCGACGAGGCAGAGGCGGCAGAGGCGGCAGAGGCAGTTCCTTTCTCAAGGGACTTTAGGAAACTTTAGGATTTCCACACCCGATTCACGCGTGCGGAGGACGAAGCCCCGAAGGGGCCCTAGTAGACTGCAAAGGGCACTTGAAGAGCTCCTGTTCGCGCTCCTGGACCTGTGAGAGGCTTGAACGTTTCGGCGCTTTGTGGAGGGCACGGGCTGCTTTCCATGGCTTGGGGGTGTAGTGCCCGGGTGTCCATCCAGAAGCTGGAAGACTCCTCTTGCGAGCTTCTACTTGTCGTGGCCCCCGCGCAAAGGAAAGTATCAACCTTGAAGCCCAGATCCCAAGCTCGGTGCCGTCCCGACTGTGAGAAGTTTCGGGCTGAATTTGATAGCACTTGCATGTCGCATACAGGAAGCCCAGAAGAAATGGGCGCATAAGTTCCGGGCAAAGCTTTCCGATGGATAGATGTGCCTAGCAGAGGCTCTCTCTGTCTCTCGGCACAAAGGGGCCTCGGTCGGACCGGGCATACTGTGACGAGGTGGCTACGGTTGGATTCCATGCCAAGCACATTACCACAGCGACTTCAGCCAGGCTTGGCCTCCAGAGAGTCATTCGCGGCAAAGTCAGATCCGATGGTAATGCAGCGACCTCCCTGCGCAAGCTCTCTGACTCCGTAGGCTCAAAGAGGTTGTTCAGACGCAGCGCGGCTGTCGTGCCCATTTTTGCTCAGCGGTCACAGCAGCGCGAAAGCCCTCGCGATGTTCGCAAGACAGCACTGGTCAGGTCGACCACGAACGCTACGACACAAGGTGGCGAAGCTCAAACACAAACCTCCACCTGTGGCCAAATTAGTCAGGAATAGCCTTCGGTAGCCTTCGTCAGCCTGGAGTGGAAGCCTCACCGCTTCCAAGCTCTCTTTGTCAGCTCACCAAGGCCTTTGCCAGGCATTTCACCACCTCGGACCTCGGCCACGTCACGAAGCTGAAGAATACACCGAGATGCGTCGCGAAGAGTCCGCAAAATTCCCCCCCACCTGTCTTCCGGAAACCTCTACAAGTACCATCGCAGAGCCCCACAGCCTTGGAAGTCGAACTGCGGCTCTTGAGACCTTGGAAGTCGACGGCGAAGCACGCTGCACAAGATGGCACAAGGCAGAAACTGGCATAATCCGAGCAGGCGCAAGTGAGCTGAGACATGTTGGAAGTTCTACGTTGGAGCAGTCACTACGTTTGACAGGTTCTAACGGAAATGGTCGAAAACCATGTAGCATTGGCATGACATGCTTTGGTCGTCCCGGCACCGTAAGCATTCTAGAAACCAAACTGGCGCTGCTTTTTTCGCGGACCGGCCTCATGTGGGGCTGTCAGCACAGTCTTTCTGCACATCCGAAGTCCCATGCCGCCTCACCTCCTTCTCGCCGTGAGGACTTCGGATGGTCTGCGCTGGCTCTAAACTAACTAATTGGAACTGGATGGCAGCGGCAGCGGAGCGCCCTCTAGGATGGGCGCTGCGCATCAGAACCCGTGGAACCGACGGCACGAATCCTCTGACCAGTGAAGCTCTCCCAAGATGCCCCTGTAAGATCTCCGCAAGATGTGGATTCGTGCCCCACTCAAGGAGCCAGTGTGCAAACACTCGACTCTCGACGTTGCCGCAATTGTCTGTCTGAAGCTGCTTTATTGACGTTTGGAATGGGGCAAACTTCACAGCAGGTAGACAGGCATCTACGGAAGGTGCCTTTTGGCACATGCAAGGTGCAACCACGCTTCGCATTCTCGTTCCTGACCGATTGCTTGCGGCTTTCCCAGGGAACTACCTGCTAGGTGCTTCGGCGTGGCAAGGCATAACCCCATCGAGATCCAGATATAACTGCTTCAGTCTACCAAGGGTGGCAGGTTCAAAACCAGAGCTTGGCAGAGTATTGTAAACCAACGTCAAAGGCTGTAGCAGCTGGATCTCATATCTACGATCGAATTGACTACTGAAGTGAGCGGTGCTGCTGAAGGGCGCAGGAGACATTGTCAAACTCGCAATCCGAGACCAACACCTGGAAAATACGCATGTGCCCCAAAGCTAACCAAGTTGTCACATGAGTTACCTGAGACCAAGGTCCCCGATCCCTTCCAGGGATACTTCATGCAGGGCAGTTGTTTCATAGGGCATCCTTGATGCGCAGGGGCCCGCCTTAGATAAGCGATCGACTGCACAAGGTTTGCAAGCTGAGGATTTATTTGGTCACGTGTCATTATCAATCATTATCCCAGAGCAGTGAGGAGCACCTCCTCCCCATCGCCCCTGCTATTCGCCAGATTGGCGGTCCATGCTCTAACTAGCAGATCACCCTGCCAACTCCAAACAAATTACAGTAAAGGGAGTTGTCAATTCCAAGTTTAGCAAACAATGCGAATGCATGACATGTTCCGAGTCTAAGCACTGAAGGCAACTACCAGTCAGGGTTGTCGGATTTGTTCTTGGCAAGCTGTCGAGCTACAGCCGGAGGCCAGTGTCAGATGCACCAGATCAAGAGCCAGGAAACCGGTGATGTTCACCAAATTCACGGTGTAGTCAATCGCGTGCGACTTCACCGAAATGCGACGCGTGTCTCCTAGCACGTGTGCGGGGCCGAAGCAGGGCAGGCATCAAAGACCGCTTCCATGTATGGTGTACACTGCATTGCAGAAGCACCGAGGTCAGATACACCACCGACAGGTCGGGGGAACACCGAGCATCATTGAAGAGCGGTTCCCTGCATACACTTGCACAGCTCTAGAAGCCATCACAAGACCGCTCTGCACCAAAGTAGCTGCTCAAGGTTTAACAAGCTCCTGGACACATGCCAACAATGCCTTTGTTGACTGCTGGGACGTTGTGCCTGGACAAGAGATTGGCTTTGGGACGCAGCGCTATCATCTGCGGATCAGGAACTCTGGCGTTCTGCAGACGTTGGCCCCGTTGGAGCTTTACAGAGCAGTGATGCAGCAAGCTCTTGCTGGTGTGAACGTGCTGATCGGAACTCCTTACATCTCCGTAGATTGCTTTCCAAACATTTCCGAACAATGGGATTGGTTGTGCGCGGCAAGTGGCACGCCAGTGATGGGGCCACAACAATTTCAATTCAGTGGTGGGCTTCCTCAACGGCTGGTTGGGACATTCAGGCAGGTCTTGGACTTAGGCATGGTGTTTCAGTAAAGTGCTTACTGAGCCCAGAACCCGACTCTAGCTTCGTTCTGAGGCCCAGGCTTTCCCACGATGAAGTTCTGCTCAGCCAAGCCGCGGGAGGCCGCTTGCTGGAGACGGCGGGAAGTGATATGGGGGATTCAGGGCCAGAAGGCTACAAACCAGAATAAATCAGCGCGTGGTCTGCTCCGAAGACATGGACGGAGCCATTGCGACACCTGTACTGTCTCGCCAGCAGGCCTCCACATGCTGCTGCCCGGTTGCGGCGCCGAAGAAAATCTGGACCTTCTCAGAACTCCGCAATCCAAATGCTTGTGCTCGAACCTGGACTTTTCTACCACACCCGATCTTCACCTGGACCTTTTGCAAGAGAAGTTGCG